AGTTTTGGGCCAGGGCTGGGTTTGAACCCACCACCTACATACGGCACATGGGGCTGGCGCCCTACTCCTTTCACCACAGGTGCCAGCCGCACCCACCAACTATTAAGCACCAATCTGTAATCAGAGCAAAAGCTATCCCATCTGGGTTTTAGCAACAATGCAGCTCCGCAGAGTTGAAGAACAGGCAAATGGCAGTGCCCTGCAACCACATGTAACCTCCATCCCTACCTTCTGACTCTATTAGGAAGTACTGATATGGTTTGCATGAATAATAAACACGTAATCCGTCTATACAGTACAGCGGATTTGAACCACCACCTACCCAATGAAAATACTTAATGACAAAAAGAAAAAATAACTTTTACATCATCTTCATATACTTCCCCTAAACGCCTACTACTACAATAAGATTTGCTAAATATTTGTTAAATGGTTGAATATTTAGCTCTCTATGAAAGTTCAAATGAATTTCAGAAACAAGATGTTAGTTTATTTAGAAAAGCCAAAACACGCTGTGTACTCTGACTAAGGCACTTACTATTCCAGAAGGAGGAAATTCATTGTTAAAGCCTTTTTTCTTTCCAAATAGTTGTTGATATCTGAGTGAAATTTATCAGTATTCAGTGGTGGCCCAATTTTTTTTTTCAAAAACAAACAACAGTTTAATGTAATTTTCTTTATTTTTTTTGCCGATATATTCTGTCCCCAAATGCTATCACAGCATATAATATCCATCTAAAACACATCGTCTTTTTTTTTTGGAGACAGTTTCACTCTGTCACCCAGGGTAGAGTGCAATGGCATCCTAGCTCACAGCAACCTCAAACTCCTGGGTTCAAGCAATCTTTTGCCTCATCCTGCTGGAACTACAGACGCCTACACCACGTCAGGCTAGCTTTTGTAATTTTAGTAGAGATGAGTCTTGTTCTTGCTCAGGCTGCTCTCCAACTCTTGAGCTCCAGCAATCCATCCACCTTGGCCTCCTAGAGTGCAAGGATTA